AGACATAATAAGTAGACTAAGTTGGCAAACACACACCAATTGTTTCAATCTCCAAGTTTGATAAATAAAATAAAATAACCATCTTAAAAATTCATCTTTTGTTTGGCAAAGCCAAGATTCATAACTAAATAGAAAAGAAAAATACATGCTGCGGCAACAAAGAAAGCTAATTATGTTGGAGTAGTCGGCAATGAAATTAGACTGTTGGTGTGAAGCCATACATCATGATTGGCCGTGGTAATGTCCTCCATCTTTGTGAATTTTCTAGTCCCGACACTGTAACTAAAATGCATGGTGTACCTGCCTTGAGGCATGTTTTCAATTTTCCACGGCCCTATAACTATTTGAAAGATGATTTGATCGAGGATCCAGAAACGAAATGAAATAAATAAAATACCAAACCTACGGCCAGAATCAGCCACAAAATCAAAATGAAAAGGTTCGGTCTCGTGATAAAGAGACCATTTTCCGGAATCAAAATCTTGTGGGAGCAGTACCTCCTTTGAATTTGAGTTTATGTTGTTGTTGTTGGACTGTGAACCATCATGATTTAATAATTTAAGTCACTGGCTTCTACTTACTACTCTTCCCATTGCTACTGATACTGTTTGAATAATAAAATACAGAATACAGCATAGAACTATAATAATAACAGATTTCAAATTCAAAATCACATACAATAATGCAATAATCTAGCAATAATACAATAATGCAATAATACAACATAGAACTATTTGCTGCACACTTGACACTATGAAGTTGCCACCACGGGACAGACCGGGGCATCGGTACTTAGAGGCCGAAGAGAGTCAACCAACAAACAAACAACTCAGGCTGAAGCCAACTGAAAGTTTCGGCCAGAAAACACCAATAAAACAAATACCTATTTTTCTAATTATTTGTCTTTAGATCATTCACCGTCGTTGTTTCGGTTAAACCTCAATAGATATTTCATCGGTTTCAACATTGTTTGGGAAAGAAACGTCTCCGTTTCATTTACTAGCTTTGTTGTTGTTGTCGCAGTGAAGGAAGTTGTGTTGAAATCGAAGTCGCTTGTAACTAAGGACAAGATTTTAGTTTCTATTACTGCTGGAATCAAGTTGAAAGAATTCAGGTAACAGATACATATTATATAGTTTGAAAAGAAACAACAAATACATATTATATTAGACTATGAAATGTTTGTGCATGTTTAGGTTAAAAGTTCACCAATTTATTCTATGTTTGGTATTGGAATGCATGTTTAGTGTATATTTAGATTATAAATGAAATTTTTATAATAACTATGCATTTGTAAAAGCTACGTTGATATATGAACCATGGTGTTTTTCCATCCTTTATATGATAAAGAGTAATGTATAATTTATTTCATTTTAGAAAACCAAACATGATAAAGAAGGATTGGGTGGAGTTACCTCCACACAATCAAAGTTATAAGGACGGTGTAAATTACTTTTTGGATATTGCATTCACCAAAGGAATGGTTGAAGAAGAAGAGATTTTGTGTCCTTGTTCTGTATGTTGCAATGATAGTTGGGAAGTAAGAGATGTAGTGTATGACCATTTATGTAGTAAAGGATTTGTAAAGGGATACACTGAATGGATTTATCATGGTGAAGATGAGAGTCTTATAGATCTTGATGGTGATAGTGATGATGAAACATCATCTCATGATGATATCGATGGCTTACTATTTGAGACATTTAAAGATGTGGCTGAAGGAGGTGGAGTACATGAAGGGATAAATGAAGATGCAAAGAAATTTTATAAACTAGTTGATGATGCAAATCAAGAGTTGTATCCTGGTTGTGAAAAGTTTTCCTCGTTATCATTCACTATTCGAATTTATTTGTTGAAATGTCTCCATGGATGGAGTAATGCATCATTCACTGCTCTCGTAGAGTTGTTAAAAGAGGCTATGCCAGATTTGAACATCCCTGTCTCTTTCAATAAAACAAAATCTATGATAAAAGATTTGGGCTTAGACTATAAAAAGATTTGGGCTTAGACTATAAAAAGATTGACGCATGTCCGAACAACTGCATGTTGTTTTGGAAAGATCACGAGAAAGATGATTCATGTCATATTTGTGGCACGTCAAGGTGGATTGAATATCCTGAAGTTGCTAATGATCTTGAAGAATCTATAAAAGCTCATAAGGTTCCCGCCAAAGTTCTAAGACATTTTCCATTGATTCCAAGATTGAAAAGACTTTTTATGTGTTCAAAGACAGCTGATACATTGAGGTGGCACGCAGACCATCGTTCAAGGGATGGGAAGTTAAGGCATCCAGCTGATGCCCAAGCATGGAAAGACTTTGATGCCAAACATTCAGATTTTGCTCGTGAAACTCGTAACATCAGACTTGGGTTGGCAAGTGATGGGTTTAATCCATTTAGGACCATGAGTCTTTCACATAGCACATGGCCTGTTGTATTAACAGTATATAACTATCCGCCAAATTTGTGCATGAAGGCTGAAAATTGTTTGATGTCGTTACTTATTCCTGGACCAAAGTCACCCGGAAATGAAATTGATGTGTATTTGCAGCCACTTATTGAGGAGCTTAAGATATTGTGGGAAGTCGGTGTAGAAACATATGATATTTCAAAAAATCAATCATTTCAAATGCGTGCAGCTCTTATGTGGACTGTGAATGACTTCCCTGCATATGCTATGTTATCTGGTTGGAGTACTAAAGGGAAGTTTGCTTGTCCTGCTTGTAATCATAAAACTTCTTCAAGATACTTAAAACATAGTCGAAAGATGTGTTATATGGGTCATCGAGTCTTTTTGGATTCAAATCATAGTTGGAGATCAAATTCAAGTTCTTTTGATGGAAAACCAGAATATAGGTCTGCACCCTCCTTGTTAGATTCAACAATGATTTTAAAAGACTTAGAAAAGATTCCTGACGTAGTGGGGCAAAAATATCATAAAAAAAGGCCTGGTCCATGGAAGAAAAAGTCTATCTTTTGGCAATTACCATATTGGAAGGATAATTCTTTGCGCCATAATGTAGATGTTATACATACAGAAAAGAACATTTGTGATAATATAATGGGGACTCTCTTAGATATTGAAGGGAAGAAAAAGGATCATGCAAAAGCTCGTTTGGACCTACAACACATGGGGATTAGAAAAAAACTCCATTTGAAGGAAACAAGTGATGGTAAGAAAACTCAAATCCCTAAGGCATGTTTCTCCCTAACAAAGCAAGAGAAAACTATTTTTTGTAATGTTTTAAAGACAGTAAAACTTCCTGATGGCCTTGCATCCAATATTTCTCGATGTGTTCAAGTTAATGAAGGAAAAGTTTCTGGATACAAGAGTCATGATGCTCATATTATATTACATTACTTGTTGCAAGTAGCAATAAGAGGGATAGGCCCTAATAAAATTGTTATCCCTTTGCTTTGACTTTGTTCATTTTTTCGGTGTTTATGCCAGAAGGTTATAGATGTGAAATCATTGGATTACTTGGAAGTAGAAATTGCTGAAACACTTTGCCAATTCGAGCGTATCTTCCCTCCGAGTTTCTTTGACATAATGGTTCACTTACCAATTCACCTGGCAAATGAAGTCAGATTGGGTGGACCGGTTCAATTTCGGTGGATGTATTATATGGAAAGATATTTGGGTGATTTAAAATCTTTTGTTCGTAATAGGAGTCGTCCAGAGGGTTCTATCGCTGAAGCATACTTAGTTAAAGAATCTCTAACATTTTGTTCAAGATATTTGTCTAGTGCTGTAGACACAAGGATGAATAGAATGACACGAAATAGCGATGATACTCCAAACACAGGTCATCCAATCGGGGGAAAGAAACTAATTTCCCTTGATCATAAGTCTCTAAACCAAGCTCACGGCTACATTTTATTCAATTGCGATGAAGTGCAAGAGTACATTAGGTACACTCATCTACTTGATACAAAATTTCATTCTCACTATAAGTTTTCTTTTTCTTTTGTATTAAAATATTAGTTACTTATTTTATAGAGAGCATGAGGTTAATGATCATAATCCTCTAAAAAAAAGGAAGTCCAGAAAAGCTAACAATCAAAGAGAAGATTTTATTTAATGGTTTGAAACACGTCTCATGGATGAGAAAGTTACTGAATGGTTGAAGGTGTTGTCTAGGGGACCAAATGATGTTGTTAGAAGGTATTCTTGTTATTTTATTAATGGATACAGGTTTCATACAACAAATCGTGAAGCAAGGCTTAAAACACAAAATAGTGGTGTGACATTAGAAGCGGTGACTCAAGTTCTTAGAAATGCGAAGGATGAAAATCCCAAAAAGATTTGTGTGACTTACTATGGGGCAATAAAAGATATTATAGAGTTAGATTATTATGGTCATGAAAAATATGTATTGTTCAAATGTGATTGGTTTGTGGATGAAAAGGATAAATATGGATCGCCGTTGGTTTACTTTAACAAAAAATGCTACAAAAATGATCCATTTGTGTTGGCATCTCAAGTTCAACAATGCTTCTTTATTGAAGATCCTTTAAACAAAAACAAACACTATGTTCTAAATGCACTTCCAAGGGAATCATTTGACATGGGAGAATCTTTAAGTACAGATGCCCAAGAATATGATATTTCAACAAATCTTAATACATTAAGGGATGATTGTGAAGTGGATTTGGTTAGGAAAGATTTTCCGGATGATATCTTTGAAATTCCTTTGTCAGAACTTCACAACCAAAAAGCAATAGAGAGTGATCATAGTGACACGAGTTATGGAAGTGACGATGAAACCGATTATGATTCTAGTACTGATTAGGTAGCATTGGCAATGTGTTTCTAGTACTGATTATGATTCAAAGTTTAATTTATGGTTATGCATGCTGTCATTTTTTTACTTAAACCATAACAAACTAGATTTAAATATACTGTTAATTTATGGTTATGCATAATGTCAATTTATACTCAATTTTTCATTATTTAATTATGTAATTTTCTCCCTTTGTAGATCATAGTTGTTGGCCATAATGGACAATGTAAGAAGTGTAAAAGATGGTGGATCACATAGGAGGAGTGGTCGAAGTCCTACTAAAAGATTTGATTTTCCTCTTCAAGTCAGATCAAGTGCAGAATTGACAAAGAAAGTGCTACAACATGTTAAGAAAGAAAAAATTGACAAGTTACATGAGATGCTACAGGGAAACAATAAAGAAAGGGTTCAGGAAATTATAGAAGTTGTGGACGGTAAATCATTTTCTTGTTTCATTTGATTTTATATAAAATGATGTATGTTAAAGTTATGTTTTGGAATTCCTTTAGATATATTATTCCTACTGTTTTTTTAATGAATTTTTACAAAAATTAGAAACACCAAAAAAAGGAACTCAACAAGAAAGAGTTCAAAAGGTTGATCACAATTTGGACAAAGAGACTATTGCAAAGAAAATGGAGATAGACAAACTCTCGCAACCAAAAGTAATGAAAGATCATGCACATGGTGACAAAGAAGTTGTACAAGGTAAGTGATTTTTAAATTTTTTCTATTATGCATATATTACATGAAATTATTCCTAATATCTTTTGGTGAATTTTTACTAAAATTAGAAACACCAAAGAAAAGAACTCAAGTGAAAGCTACAGTGAATAGAGAAAGAATTCAAAAGGTTGATGGAAAATTGGACAACCACATTGCTATGAAGAAAGCAGAGAGACCTAAGCTTTTGCAACCACAAGCTAAGGAAGTTCTTGCACATGGAAACAAAGAAGTTTCACAAGGTAGTTAATATCCCTGCATATACTTTAAATTTATATATTTCTTTTCATGACATTATTATGACGAGAAAATTATATTGAAACCAGGAATGCTGGAAAAAAAATTCATGAGAATCTACTAGAGAACAATAGAGATAAAATTCAAAAGGTGGAAAAACCAGTTGCAAGGAGAATACTTATTTCTTCCAAAAATAAGAAACCAGAGAAATCTACTCTATCTTTGGACACAATGATGTCAAAAGCTGAATGCTCTCAAAAGCTAAACAGGGTGCCAAAATGCCCATCAATGTTGATTGATGATTATGTAGATCTTCACAAGTCAAAGGAAATGGATGCAACCAACTCAAACAATGGTGAAAAACCAGGCAGCAGCGTTAACCATAGCTCTAATCAAAATCAATCAAAAAAAGGAACTCGACAAGAAAGTGTTCAAAATCGGGCAAAAGTCAACGAAGAAGATGCAATCACAAATAGAGAAGAAGAAAAAGGTAATTAGTTTCATATTTCATAATAATGATTTCATGTATTATTTACATATTGGTAGCAAACATGTGATATCATGTTGTTGTGTTATTACTTTATAGAAACATCCCAAAGAAAAACTCGTGGGAAAACTTTGTGCAAAAAGATTCATGCAAGAACTTTGGAAGAGCGAGTAGAAGTGACCTTTAATGAGGATTTTCAGCCAATTGGTCCTAGTGAAAAAGTAGTATCTGACTTGAGCCTCTTCTTGGGAACATTGGCTATGAACTCAACATTTTGTCCTCTACGTTACACCAATTGGTCAGGAATGCCAGATGATAATAAAAATCGTTTATGGAGATATACTAATGTATGTTTTTATCTATGAATTTGAAAGTCTAATTATTTAAAAAAAGTGTTTCATTTCTTGATCTTGTCTTATCTTATAATTTATGTAGCGAAAGTTTATCTTGCCGGTTGAAGCACGAGATTGGATTGAGACCACTGTTAGAGAGGAATGGAGAAGATATAAGCACAAAATTAAGAAGAATCATTTTTTGAAGTATTCCAACATGACCGAGAGACTCAAAAATCGTCCACCAAACGTGCCAATAGCCCAGTTTAAGAGTCTTTGTGCTTATTGGAGTAAGGAAACTATACAAGTAAGATTAATATTTTTTTATGTATGTGTGTGAATTTACACCTTTCTATGTATGCCATAATTAAGTAATATTTATTATAATAATTCTGTCAAATTTAAATGTAGGCAATCAGTGAAAATAACACTAGAAATAGAGCTCAACTAAAGTGGATGCATCGAATGGGTCCCAAAAACTTTGCTTTGACTCGTGAAAAAGTGGTAACTTTCTTTTGTTCTCAATAAATTATTCCTTGTATGAATGTTTCTTTGTTCAATTAAAGTATTCGTGAAAAACTTTTCTTTGACTCGTGAATAGGAATTTTAATTCACATAATTTGTTATGGAATTATTTTGATTTGTGCAGCGTGAAAAGGAAAAAAGAGAGCCCACTCAATCAGAAATGTTTGTTGAAACTCGAAAAGGAAATAAAGGAAAGGAACTGGATGTAGAAACTAGAAAAGTAATTGTATGTAACATTGTTTATATAATACGTTTGCTTAATATAATCGGCCAACATTGTCTATAATAGTAGCTAATATTTTTTTTTTTGTAATTTATGCTAGTCCCAACTTCAAGAAATGGTTGAAAAGGAGGAAAGTGATACAGAAGCTTTTAAAGTTTTTTTTGGAAAGGAGTGTCCAGGCAGGGTACGCTGTTATGGGAGAAACATAACTAAAACTTCCTTAAAGAGAAAGGCAGAGATTAATGCTTTGAAATAAGCCCACAGTGAAGAGGTCTCTACATTAAGGGACGAGTTTCAAGATAAGATTGATAGATTGCAAAATGCTTTTAAGACCGTAATACAACAATGCAATCCTCAAATTAATATAGAGTCAATTGAAGATTTGTTAGGATTATCTCATGGAGATGCTAATAGTTCCCCAAAGGATATAAGACCGCAAATGCATTCATCTACATCAACTCATGCTCCATGTCATGGAAAGGTAACCATATATACCAATATTATTGATTTATATTTTTCTAATTATGTTATAGTATCAAAATGGTTGTTAATGTATGCAAAAATTTGCAAGTAGTGACAACACCTAGAATAAAGTAAGTGGTTGAAATTGTTTAAGTAGTGACAACACCTAGAAGTGGCTGAAACTGTTTTATTTGTGCGAGCTTTCATTGATATTTCACAAACATACTTGCCTGGGATAAGATTATGGGACCCCCTTGTTTGATAACACTCACTATGTATGCTGTAAATTTATCCATATGATACTGAACACCAAAGAAGATACAACAAGTAAGAGTGTTCATCAGAGTTCATTTACTCCAAAAAATAAACATAAAAGGATAGCAAAAGTTATACATACATACATACATACATACAGTTAAAGGCTATTGTAAGTCCTGAATAGTGAGCCAAAAACAGAATGGTTTTCATAATTGATTTATTTGCTAGTAAGCTCATGTCACCTATTACAGTTTAGAACGAAAATTCACATCCATTAAAAACCTTCAAAATTAATTCACATCCATGAGATGTGAAGAATATAAACAATGTGTTTTGCTCATTGGTTTAGTTTTTATTTGTGCGAGGTTTAATTCTTGTTGATGTCTTAATTGTCCTTTGGACCAAAAATACTTATGGTTAATATGTTTTATTTTATTTTCTTATGCAACAATGTATCAATGAAGATGTTGAAAATGACGATATAAATGATTAAATTCAAGAGGACGACATAAATGATAAAATTCAAGAGGACGACCTAAATGATAAAATTCAAGAGGACGACGTAGATGACGAATTTCAAGAGGACGACATAGATCTAGATGATGAATTTCAAGAGGAGGATATAGATGGTGAACTTCAAGAGGACGACGTAGATGAAGAATTTATGGAGGATGACATATCTAACGAATTTCAAGAGGACGATCTGGATGCTTTACTCCTAGAAGACAAACTTGAATGAGTTGGATGATGTCTTTTTTTTGGCTTGTAGTTGAAAGCATTAAACTTGAAATATGATTTTTGTTCTTTTGCTGAACTATGTTTTTAGTTATTTTACTAGGGTCATACTTCAAAGTATTAAAACTAATATTGTTACGTTAGGCATTTTGTGTACTCTATATACTATATCTTGAATTAAAGTTTGAACTCGATTTTATTATATTACAACTTTTATGGATGTATGGTTTAAGTTATATAATCAATATTATTTTTGAAGCCAATTATTATTGACTATATTATTTTGATAATAATTGCAAAATTGTATATTTTATGTGGACACTATAAAACAACAACCTATAAGCTACGGCTACACTTCAAAAACGATCTTCCTGATTCAGGTTTAAGGCAACGATTGTTAATTGTAGCCGAATTTGGCAACGCAACGCTTAAAAAACGTTGTCTCAGAGGCCGTAAATAATCGTCCCCTATTCCTTTACTATAGGCGACGTTTTTCAAAAGCGTTCCCAAAAAACATAAAAAAACGTCGCCTCAAACAATAGGTAACGCTCGCACAGGAGACACCTAGAAAACGTCCCCTATTGTTTTAGGCAACGATTTTCAGAGTTCTGGCAACGTTTTTCAATTGTTGCTGGAGAGCCTAAATGTTGTAGTGAAGTTTGACACATTCTGATCCTTCCTGCATAATTTTGCGATTTTCTTCCCTGTAACTCACTACGGGATTCATGTTTTAGCCCTACAAACTTAATATAATCATGATAAATCACCACCTACAATTATCCTATAATACTACATCGATTAAACAACATTGGGACATTATTATTCATCTAAAATTCATCAAATCTTCATCATACATCATCATATACATCAAATTTAAGAATAAAACTGCAATCACCTCTAATCCCACATATCAATTGTGACACCCCAAATTAATTCAAGTGTTAAATAATTAGTAATTTAATTATTAAATTAATTAAAGGCTTAATTAATAATATTTTGGATTAAATGGATGAATTAATTATGAAATTAAAAAGGAAGACCGGGGGTGTAAGGTTGAATTAGAGGTGTGTGAAGTAAAAAGCTCTACTAAATAATAACTAATCTATTACTATTATTTGGAAAATAATAAAAGGAATATAAAAAGAAGGATAAAAAGGAAAAGAAAAAGAAGGTTATTTGGAAAAGTCATTATACGTGAAATTGGAGAAGAGAAGAGAAGAGAGGAAAAAGCCAAACGCCGTGAATTCGAAGGATCATCGCGAGGTAAGGGGTGATTTCATTCAGTTAATATGCCTTATGGGTTTTGAGATACAATTGAATGATTGGGTATGTTAGGAAACTTGAATTAGATAATTCTAGGTTTGTAGGATTATCCCTAATTGTGTCGGATTATAGGAATTGGAACCATTAATGTGATAAATAATTAATATGAATGATGGAAACATGATTTATGATGTTGTATTGATGTGTATTGGTTGCATTTTGGTATTCCTAATGTTATAATTCGTATGGGAATGAAAAGGAATGGATTGAGATACATAATGCTGTCAAAAATAGCAGTTTTGGGTTCTGCAGGTCGTGGGAACCGGTTACTCCTGGGGAGGAATCGGGTTCCCAGTTCAAATTTTCAAAAATTGGGCATTTTTCAACGTAGGAACCGGTTCCTGTATAGGTAAGAACCGGGTTCTCATACATTTTCCAGAAACGTGATTTTTGAACTTCGCAGGAACCGGTTCCTGCATATGTAGGAACCGGGTTCTGCTGTAACTTTTTGAAAAATATTAAACTTTGAAAATTCATAACTTTCAAACCGTATGTCCGTTTTGAGTGCCGTTTTGGACGTTATTTCTTAAATTTAATGCTCTATTTTATAAAATGAAAATATTTCCTAAAACCTAAAATTATTTTGAAAATGAGTCAAATCCCGGAATAAGTGATTATTGGCTAACGCACATGGGTGTATATGTAGCAGTGAATCTGTGATGGATGGATGTATTAGTATTATGTGAATTAAAGGCATGTTTATGTTGCTAATGATGGTGTGCATGATCGTTGAGATATCATGTTTTTGGTTTTGGTTCAGTTATGATAAATTGATGTATTTCATAGACTGATTTGATGTTGCATGCTAGTGATGTGCGTGCATATGCATTGTTTTGGTGAAGTTAATTCCCATTGTGTGGAATTTGACTTGTATTGCCGTTAACCGATACCCAGGTGATGATGGGTGGTTAGGCTGGATTCGTGTCCGGGTGTTTATGGACGAATCGATGGTTGCTGTATCCGGTTGATGATGGATTAGTGTTGGGTGACTTGGTCACGTGTTGGTACCACATGCATTGTGTCTGCATTTGTGTTTGCATGGAATTGTAACATGTTAGGATGTCTTCCAGTGTTACAATTCTTTGGTTGATTATTGATTTATGCATAATGACTTGTATGATTGGAACTGCGTGTTGAATCTGAATTTATGCTAAAATGGGTGAAATAATATGCTTGTGATATAATGTTGATTGAGAAGCTTATAATGCATGTTAATTATGAGAAATCTCACCCTTACTTTAACAATTTCAGATTAAAGTTAGCAGCTCAGGAGTTGGTGAGGATGGCTCTAGAGCTATGTTACTTTAAGTCCGTGTGTCAGTGTCGTGCTCTGATAGGTTGTAACACTGGGGAACGTTTAGTTGAGGAATTAGTTATTATTCAATTGTTTCTTTGAATTTCATTGGGAATAATTATGTTTTGGTTTATTTCGTTTTGGTTATGGTATTTTTCCGCTGTGTAAGACATGGTCTTAAGTTGATTGAATTATTTGAATAATGACCCTTAGTGTAGCATGACTACTATTTTATTGGAAGTTTTATTTATTTCATAATTGTGACATCCCTTGTTCCGTGTTAACTCTGATGGAATATGTCTTTAATCATTGATATAATTAATATTATTCGGGGTATTTTAGAAGGGGTGTTACAATAGTGGTATCAGAGCATAGTCGGTCTTGTCTTGTGTCGTTATCCCTTTTATATGCGACTAGTGTAAGATGACACTATCGATACTTGTGTGCTGATGAGGTTGTTTTGTAATGTTACAGAACAATGGCCGGAAGAGGTAACAAAAGAAACGGCGATGCTATTGCTGAAGCATTGGGAATGTTGGCTGGAGTACTCAGAGGGAACCAGCAGGGAGCTGTGATTGGTGCTGACTGACAATTGGGGAATTTTCAGAGGAATAATCCTCCGTTGTTCAAGGGTGCACATGATCCCGAAGGTCCTCAAAAGTGGTTGAAGTAGATCGAGAGGATCTTCAGAGTAATTGACTGTGCTGAAGGGCTGAAGGTGAGATACAGAACTCACATGTTAGCAGAGGAAGCTGATGACTGGTGGGTTGCTACCAGAACTGAAATGGAAGAAGATGGTATTGCGTTGACTTGGGCTGTGTTCAGGAGGGCTTTTCTGAGGAGGTACTTTCCCGAGGACATCAGAGGAAAGAAGGAGATTGAGTTTCTGGAACTCAAGCAGGGTAACAAGACTGTCAGTGAGTATGCTTCGAAGTTTACTGAGTTAGCGAAGTATTATGCTCATTATACTAACGATGCAAATGGAGAATTTTCCAAATGTATCAAGTTTGGTTAGAACAACTTGATATCATCCTTGGAATGAACTGGTTGGAATTCAACCAGGTTCATATCAACTGTTTTGCAAAGACGGTTATTTTTCCTGAAGAGGTTGGTGTCGAAGATGTGACTATGTCGGTTAAACAGATGAACCTAGCTGTGAAAGATGGTGTTGTGGTATTTATGTTGTATTCTGCAATAGAAGCGGAGGGAAAAGCAAAGAGTGATGGATTACCAGTGGTGAATGAATTTCCAGAGGTGTTTCCAGAAGACGTTAGTGAATTGCCACCTGAGAAGGAGGTAGGATTTACTATAGATTTGATTCCTGGAACTAGTCCGGTGTCGATGGCGCCTTACCGTATGTCGGCATTTGAACTAGCGGAGTTAAAGAAACAGTTGGAGGAGTTACTTGAGAAGAAGTTTATTCGTCCGAGTGTTTCGCCGTGGGGTGCTCCGATGTTGTTGGTTAAGAAGAAAGAAGGTTCAATGAGATTATGTGTTGATTACAGACAGCTGAATAAAGTTACAATCAAGAATCGGTATCCTTTGCCGAGGATTGATGATTTGATGGATCAACTAGTTGGAGCTTGTGTATTTAGTAAGATTGATCTGAGATCTAGATATCATCAGATTCATGTGAAGTCGGAAGATATTCAGAAAACTGCATTTAGAACGAGGTATGGACATTACGAGTATTCTATTATGCCGTTTGGAGTTACTAATGCACCTGGTGTTTTCATGGAGTATATGAACAGGATATTTCATCCGTATCTTGATAAGTTTGTGGTGGTGTTCATTGATGATATTCTAATTTATTCGAAGAGCGATGAAGAGCATGCAGAACATCTCAGAGTTGTGTTGGAATTGTTGAAAGAGAAGAAGCTTTATGCGAAGTTGTCCAAGTGTGAATTCTGGTTAAGTGAAGTAAGTTTTCTTGGCCATGTAATTTCCAAGAATGGAATTGCTGTGGATCCTACGAAGGTAGAAGCAGTATCTCAGTGGGAAGCGCCGAAGAATGCTTCTGAGATCCGTAGTTTTCTGGGTCTTGCAGGTTATTACAGGAAGTTTATAGAAGGATTTTCCAAATTAGCGTTACCGTTGACTAAGTTGACCAGGAAGGGTCAGATGTTTGTTTGGGATGTTGAATGTGAGAAAGGATTTCAAGAGCTGAAGAGGAGGTTGACAAGTGCTCCGATCTTGATTTTGCCAAATCCGACTAAGTCTTTTGTTGTGTACTGTGACGCATCATTAATGGGATTAGGTGGTGTGTTGATGCAAGATAAGCAGATGGTGGCTTATGCTTCGAGACAATTGAAAGTACATGAAAGGAATTATCCGACTCATGATTTGGAGTTGGCAGCTGTTATGTTTGTTTTGAAGTTGTTGAGGCA